AGAAGTTGAAGGCTTCGCCAGAAGGGAAAATCTCGTAAAAGGCTGCGAGAATACGGACGGTTTGTCAGCATGCGAGGAGGAGGGCAAGGAGGGCGGACTGACCAGTGAAGCTCGATGAATCATTTTGGAGAGTGAGGTCGATACCAACCGTGAGGGCGTTCTCGCAGCTGATGGCGCCAAGGCCGACCCTGGGCGGATGCAGCGTAGAGTTTACTGGGGTCCTTGCCCTCAGGCACACTAAGCGTCGGAATCATGAACGACCCCGTGACGCTCGAGAAAGTGCCCTACGCGGAAGTCAAGCCTGTCAGCACACGCAACACACAGAGACATAAGAGAAGGTTCACCTCAGTCGCATTCAAGAAAGCGCCAGCCGTTGCTGTCACATCGATGACGGTGTTGTTCGAAGCTGTCGAGCTGCGCGCGCGGCCGGAACGACGGGTGTTGCGGACCTGGTGAAAGCTCTTGAGGGGCGGCCGCGAGACAACGGTCGTGGCAGCGAGAGCCAAGACAAAGGAGACGATGGAGATGAAGTACATGGTAGTGTGAGCGATATGAAGTCGAAAGAACAAAAAGAAAAGAAAGACAGAAAAAGAAGTCGAAAGAACCGTCAGGCCGTCGAGGCAAGAAAGACGAAGAATCTGTGGTTTAGCTATGGCGGTCGGGTGAGCTTATATATGCCGGGGGCCTGTCCCGCGGCTGCGCACCATAATGATCCTGCGGTGCATCATCGTGCACAGAGCTTCGCGAGGCGGGGCAGGTCTCATCACAGCTACAGCCGTTGCGATTCGAAATGTCGCAAATCGGAGTTTTTGGGTTTCATTTTAGGCTGACCTTGATGATAACTCAGTACTCAGATCTCAGAGGTTGAAGGACAGCCTGAAGAAGAGGTACGGTTTCGGATTCTGAAGCGACGTTTCAGACGGGATCGCGCTGAATCCCGTCCAATAGGAGAACTGGATCGTGCGAGGGCCTGCGAGCACAGCGACGGGAAGATAATTATTTGAGCCGTGCTGATTAATGTGTAGCAAGGAGTTGTGCTAATCTAGGGTTCATGTTTTGTAGAGGACCCTTAGCGTAGGGTTACAGATGTACTTTTGTTGAACGCGTCGCGGGCTCGTCGTGTATCTTCTCTGCGTGTCGTGTTGTTGCTTTAGAGTCGTCCATAAAATATCTAAGATGGTGCTATGGGCATGGCAAATACCAAACCAGTTCCAGCAGCCATGCCAGAGCTGTGGTAACGAAGTAGGATGATTCGCAGGAGTACGGACGCGGCATGACAAGCGCGACGGGTACACGGCCGCGACTCGATGAGCAGAGTCTCACACCGACTTTCCCATCATGAATTGGCACGTTTAGGAGATATATCTTGCACCCCTGCTTGACAGGGGTCTCAGCCACATTAATGTCAAGACATTAATAGCAACAGTGCTCGGAAATGCTCCGGGCTCTTTCAGCTCTCGTCGAAGGGCGAGCACTACTATCCTAAACTGGGTTTCCCTATTGAGGCTCGACATATCTACCTGTTTCTCCTTCTTTCGCCGTGAACCAAACGTCGTTTTGTTCTCTTCCATTGCACTGAGGGGTGCTGTCTGACACTGGATTACAGTACTGGGGCTAAGTCAAGTAGCACTGGCCGCCTATCGTGACCCTGATGCGCAAGGAGAACCGACTCAACAGAGTGGAAGCAAAGCAAGGGTGGCAACGTGCAGGAATCTCGGCTGCGTCGCACTGTTTCTCGGCGTACGATAATGTATCTCGATGGTCCAAGTCGGGACATAGATTGTTCTGTGCTTACCGCGGAAAGTGGCCAGGAATTTGGCCGGCGCTGGGACGTCGTTGGAAACACTTCGGAGGTGCATTTTTTGAGCTCAATCCCCGTACTCCAGACTCATCGGGCAGAAAAATTCGCGTTCGGACGCCTGTGCTTTTGTCGAGTTTGCCTGTCCGCAACTAGACTCGTTTACCAGCCACTCGCAGAGCTGCCGTGAGCCCGCGGAGCGGTCACGTGTGCCTCCATCCGTTTCGGAAGGGGCGCGAGCTTAGGAAGCGGTGGGGACGAGCCTAGTCCGCAACTATAACCCATCAGGATGGGACCTATTAGGGAACACGCAGGGGTCTTACTCCAGGACACACGTCTGCTGACTCAAAGTGCGGCACGTAGGAGCTATCCTTCGTTCGCACAGAGTGCCTTCGATAATGGCTGTCCAAATGAGAGAAGCTTACGGTCACGGTCGCTCAGGGCGCCTGGCTCTGACCATGTGTCTTGTGACACAAAGACACTCCGGATCTGGCAGGACAAACTGACGAGAATGAAAGCAATCCATTAGGGTTGCCATGTAGCATGCAGAAAGACAGCACCAATCACCTAGACAGATTCCATGCGTCCAGCAGACTGTTAACAACTGTGATGCGCCTTATATTGATCGAGGAATATTATGTAGGCTTGCCTTGGCAGCCTGAATGTCAGTATATACTCGTAGTGATGCAAAAAAAAATGCCGCGAGGCCGGTTACACGGCGAGCAGCCTCGCACAGCGTGACAGTCAGTCAGTCCAAGTAGCGGTTGACTTGCGAGGAGATCCTCATAAGCCCCTGCATGGCGGCGGCCTGCCTGCCTCGAGTTTCGCGAAATCGCTTAACCTCACATTCGTAGCTGTGGGTGCTATGTCACCATATAGTAAGTTACGGGACCGCGAGGAAAAATCAACGCCGTCAGTTGCTGTCGAGCGCGCCACGCCGGAAACGGCCGAGCGCCCCCGGACACAGCGGGCGGCAGATCATGATCTGTGCTCCGCCATCGAGTGCACCGCCCAACTCGAAGGTGTAGCTGTATCTCTTGCACTAGCCCGGACGATACCGCCGATGCCAGACTTGGGAAACGGTGCCGATAAAGATGAAGTTGTAGACAGGTGAGTTGGTACCTGCGTTGAAGGATTTGAATGTGGAGTATCTGAAGATGATGATAGGCAGCACTGTACAATGTCGTTGATGCGGGCGGGTCCGATTATCCACCACAGGTTACTGACATGATTCTATATGCAGCAGCTCGCCAAAGCCCACTAAATCTCTTCCTCTGCGGCACTGGCTGCTGTTACTGTCATAGCCCGCTCCTGGATGTTCTTAACTTATCCACACTGCAGTTTGTTATGCTGGCATCAGTCCCACTGCATAGCCATTCTACCGACGCAGATCCCGAAAGCCGCCAGGTGTCGGTTGGGAACCACGACAGCTACTATCGGGACCGATTGTCTGAGCTTCAAGCTGATGCCGTTCGATCTGAACCGCTGCCGCATCGGACATTACTCTGCATTTGGATAGAAGACACGTCTTCGACGACCCAGCACAAACAACCACTGGAGCCAAACAGACCGGACATAAATTCGAACATCGGCGTCTGTTGCTTCTCTGTCCGCTACCATCACCGTCTCTTCTGTCCTGTCTGCGTCTCTCCAGCCCTGCGCCTTCTCTAGTCGCTCTCCGGCAGCCAGTAGCGGCACCACTCGCGGGGCCCCGGAGACACAATGCTCCTCGAGGCATACTACGTCGTTACCTGGTTGGGGCTGGCCCTCAACTTCTGGAATGTCGTCCCCGCTCAATTCAACACAGTCATCAAACCACTTGCAAAGAAGCTCATCGACTCTTCCACCAAGTGGACCAAGAACCGGACTCGACGTACACTCCAAACCGGTTTACGGAAACGAATTTCGTCTAGGACCACCAGGAACACCATTCGCACGTCCTTCCACCTTGCTTTAGGCTCGCTGAACCAGTCCCAGTACGATCCATTCTTCGGTTCCCAGCTGCCGAACATCGTGCCGATGACGGCGCGTCTGTCGCTCGCGAACCCGGTTGCTCCTACCACCTTTGATCTTGCCTTCCGCCCTTCGTCTGAGATCCAGGTCTACCGGTCCCCCGTCTGTCCGGCGCTTTCGCTCTTTTTCGAGTCCTCCACTGACCTCGACCCACGCCTGCCCGGCCACGTTCACGCATACGAGCCATGGCGGCTCGCGACATGTCTGGCTATCTTTGTCCAGTCGGCTGCCCAGTGTTTTTCTCCCCTGCAGCTGCCGTCCGGTTCCACTCTCATGGTAATCGACGGCGACCTTGATCTTGACTGGTGGAATCCTTGGTACATCTTCCTCGGCCTCGCCTTCTGGTTTGTCTTCATGACGCTCGCATTCCCGAACCCACCCAAGGGAAAGGTGGGTACCTTCTATCTTCCTTTTCTCCTTTTCTCTGTCAACGCTCATACCACTGCCCTCGAGTAGAAGCAGCATTCTCGTCGAACCAAGGAGTCGAAGTCGAAGTCGCGCCCGAACTGTGCTAGCTCACATGCTGGGTCTCTCGACAACGAGTCATCTCCGGTCTACTGCGTTACGGATAACTTTGACTGGATGGCTATGATCTCTACAGGTTCCATCGATGCCAGAGAGAAGACAGATGTCGTCGACTTCGTCGTCCCCCATATTATGACTTTTGAATGGCGAGCATCTTCATCTTCTCGTCTATCGTCTTCTGGATCTATATCCCTTGGTTCCCCATCATCTGGTTCATCATCTGGTCCATTTTTTCTCGGTCCATCGTCATCTGGCCTAACGTCGCCTGAGTCTCCGTCTTCTGGCTGGCCGTCCCCCAATCTGTCTCGTCCAGGTTTATCGTCTTCCGTGTCCCGAAAGAAGCTCTCTGACAACAACATACGCGACCGATACCGTGGTTTCTTCTACGGCTCCATCTCGAAACCGCGATCGTCTATCACCTAGCTCCCTCTCTTTGATCACCGCGCTCGGCACCACCGCCGACTTTGACCTGTTGGTCGGTATCTTCGACTCTGAGGAACGTACACTCGTGGAGGGCCCCCACAACGTGTAAATCCGATGAGAAGAGGATGCCCCACAGGAAGAAGGGTAAGCAGCAGCAGTCGTTGTTGCTCGCTGCGCCCGGGCCGACACCCTTCGCATCCGCGGCGTGGTCAGGTGGCCGCACGCCTCTCGCCTCCGCCTGCACTCCGCGACAGATTTCTTTCCCGGCAAGTGCAGCAATGGTGACTCGGTTTTGCCTTGTTCCCGACAAATTTGCATGAATCTTGACGACTTGTTAACATGAAGACTCGTCACGAACTGTTTCGCTTCCGTACGGATTCGCACAATCTTCGAACTACTTTCCCCAGACCCCTTGATACATGGTCTCTCACTCGACAACAACATGCACGGCTCGGATTCACAGCCTCACCATTTGGATCCTTTTCTGTATTCTTCGATTTGTTCAGATTCCTTGTCTCATCCCTTGTGTTCCCTCTCATGTACATGCACACTCGGACTCTGTCGTTAATCCAAACGGCTAGGCTTTGCAACTTGAGTACGACTTCAAGTACCTACCCTCCGTGATCCGCTTTCTGACATATCTTTAGAACTTGCTTACCCTCTGGGGCCAGTCGCTAGTTGCCTTAGCCGGACTTGTCTAGGGACTCTTCATCTTATCTCCGTTGCGCATGGATGACAAGTCTCGCGCTCCTTTGCATGCATCCCCGAGGTTACCGAGGTAAGTCTTCGCCGCTCTTTGTGAGACTATGGCTGATCCGCTCTGCCAGCCTTCGCCTTCGACCACCGCCCGCTTTCACAGCCGTTCAACCAACTCGTGGCAGATCCTCGACAATAAACACACCCCGCGCAGCTCAGTCATAGGACAAGCTAGGTGCGTAGCTTGGTTCTTCAGGTTTCGTTCACCACTAACGTCTTTCATAGATTATCCACGTTGTACCAGTCGTTCAGTCCCGATTATTGGCACACGCCACTGGCTTAGCTCTCCGCCGTCTACCGTGCGCTTTTGTCCTTACACTCGCTCTTCACATGCTGTCACTACTTCGATTGTGAACACTCCAAACCTACACGTTTTCCAGACCAACGACTGGTCTGCGCTCAAGATGACCCTCTCGCCGTCGACTCCTCTCACTCCGAACCGACGCCCGGTTCGCGCTCAATGACGGCTGCCTTCGGCCGTCGATTCTCTACCCAACTTTTTCGAACCCACAAAGCGGTTCGCGCTCAATGGTGGAAGCCTCTGGCCACCGACTTCCAGACCCACGATGGGTCTGCGCTCAAGGCAGCTCTCTCGCTGTCAAATCCTGTTCCGAACCGATGCCTGGTTCGAGCCCAACTTTCCCGAGCCTACAAGCGGCTCGCGCCCAATGGCGGAAGCCTCCGGCCGCCGACTTCCGGACCCACGATGGGTCTGTGCTCAAGACAGCCCTCTCACTGTCGGCTACCTGTCCCGAACCGACGCCTGATTCGAGCTCAATGACGGCTGCCTTCGACCGTCGATTCTTGGTCCAACTTCTCCGGGCCCACTAGTGGTTTGCGACCAATGGTGGAAGCCTACCGTCACCGACTTCCGGACCCATGATGGGTCCGCGCTCAAGACGGCCCTCTCGCTGTCGACTCCTGTTCCGAAACGCCTGGTTCGCGCTCAATAGCCTTTAGCCACCGACATCTTTTATGAGCCTGTGCCACCGTCTTTGTATATACCACTGAATATGATGCATTGTCTCCAACCGATGCCTGCATGTGTCTGAATATACCTGATGAATACTGTGGTATATCGGAGTGTACAGAGAAGGGTGTCGCAGTGGTAGAGCGGCTCAGGGCAAGTGTCCTCGGTAACGGACATTAGCGAACCCAAGGGTATGTGTATTCCATATTCCATAACGTGGGTAAATGCAGAAAGTAATGGCGATGGGAACAGTGCATGCATGCAGGCGAAGGCGCCTAGTAGTCTAAGAATTATGGTATCCATAGAATGCGTAGAAATGCGGGACGAAGAAGACACTCCTCATTCTAAATAAAATGCAAGTCCGAGGACTAGATGCCCGCCTGCCTGTTCATGATGTACACCGGGAGATCCTGCCAGCCGCCGCCGACGCGACACATTACCTTGCGCGTCGTCGTCGCCTGGTCGCGCCCGGACCGGGTCATCGTCGTGAGCTTGCAGTTGACGATCTTGCGCCCGAGCGCGTTGCTGAAAGCGTACTGCGCGCGGATCTCCTCGCCCTCTCTCGGCGCGCCGCGCAGCGGCGGATCAATGCGCTCGATGAGCAGCCCGTGCGTCATGTGGTTCACGACCGCCGCGACCTCTGCGTCCAGCGGGTCCCGGGGGCTCGCGGGAGTGTAGACGTGCACGGGCTTGCCGTCGAGGCTTGGGGTCGAGGCGCCCGAGCGCGACGGCGGTCGACTAGGAGTTCGCGGGGCGGACGAATCCCTGAAACTCGATGGCGGCAGGCGTGGTGTCGCCGCGGACGGTCGTGGAGTGTTGCGTAAGGCTTCTGGGGTCTGCACACGCATGGCCGACCCACGGAACGACATGGAGCTCTCCGGCCGGTAATTGGACATCGCACTAGATGGCCGGGATGCACCCTGAATGTGGACATTAAGCACGGGCACAGGGATCATTGAGCGGCTTGGGGGTCTCGGCGGATGTCCACTCGGGGTCTGGCGACCTGTGGGAGAAAGGGCACGGTGAAGAAGCGAGCCGCTGCCTTCGTCATCCAAACTAAAGCTACTGCTGTGAGAGGGCGAAACAGTGCCCGAGATGGAACGGAAATAACTGCCGCCTGTGAGTGACGGCCGCGGTATATGACTCGGTGTTCTTGGTCGGGGCCGCAGAGGTACGGTGGGAAGACCAGGTGTCTGTGCACGCGAAGGTGGTCGGTACAGGGAGGCTAGTGGCTGATTTGCTGAGGACTGAGCTGTCGAATTGGAAGATGTGACCGGGGACCAAGGTCGTGAAGATGCCATGGAACTACGGGAAACACTTCGTTTGTACGGCGTGCTCGTGACTGAAGCGAGCAGAGATTGATCTTCAAGAGATAGAATATTGCCTATGGTGGATATTCGTCTTGAAGTCGACTTGACGGTGTTGTTCCGCGTACCGTCATCCTCAACCCTCGTCGAACTATTCCACTTTGGGCGGTTGACCTTGAGAGTCTGATTGATATTGTTTAATGGAGAAGAATCGGGAGTGAGGCTTTGACTGTGCTTGTGGCTTGGCCGGTCTGGAGTTAAAGAGGACTCCCTACTCATGAGATTAAATAGCGATGACCTGTGTCGTAGAGCCCGTGTGGGTTCAGAGGAGGGTGCTTGCAGCATAATGGGGTCTAGCCTGGGTACAGCAGGAGTTGCAGGGACTGACGGAACAGGAGACTTTGCACCTTTAGCAATTTTCCGCGCCAGCTTCCGAAACGGAGAAGTGGCACGCGAGATGGTGGAACTTCCTCTCGACTTCCCCGACCGTGAACCGTTAGGCGGTGTAGCGGTGAGGTGACCACCGTTCGTCTGACTAGTCGTCCCGGAGGTGTTGGAAGTTGCCTCCTCGCTTGGCGAAATGCCTTCTGATAAGAAGATCATGCGAACAGACTCCATGTTCTTGTCAGTCCGAGTAATTCTCTCCTTGAGGTGCCGCCACCTCTGTGTGCACTCTGCGTGACGTCGAAGACATTCGCCGTTCTTCGTTACGCGCTCCTGCACCCCCTTGTCGATGATAGAAAGAACTTTTGTGGTTGCCGGCATGTAATGCCTGTAAGCATGTTAGAGAGCCGAACAGCTCAAGCTCCCAGGAAACGCACTTCTTCTTCGCCTCATACGATTCCAGCAGCGTGTTGAACTGTTCGAAACTTGGAGACGAGTCTGAGCTGAGTGAAGCCACCGAGGAAGACGATCGGGATAGACCATCTTCCTGCCCATATCTGCGCACCCCGGCAATGAAATCCTAACTCACAAATTCAGCCAAGACAAGCAGAAGAGAGCGGATCGTCGTGCGCACCTGACATCGGTTGACTGCCTTCTCCAAGCTCGTCATCATGCCATCTGCCTGCTCCGTTACCGTCCTGAATACAGTCAGCCACTTGTCTTCCCTCAACTCCTCGCGTAGTATCTGGCTCTCCTTCTGCACCGCTTCCCACTCTGAAAGCATCGTGGCATGCTTTCGAAGTAGCATTTCTTCCTCCCCCGATGCGCCGTCTGAATCTGAATTATTATGCGACTCCACTGCTGGGCCTATCGCTTCCGCAACAGCGGCGACACCATCCTGAACGAACTGTAGCCTCTCGTCAAGTTGGGCGAGAGACTGGTCGATGACGCGCGAGGTCGAAGACGCGTCGCCAGACTGTGATTTGTGTCGCAGCTCCTGTATTTCTAGAATGATGGCGCGGGGTCAGAATGACATCTCCCGGACAGCGAGCTGCAACGAGGCAACTGACCAAATATCCTCGCCTCAATATCCGAGATGCTGTACGTCAATTCCGTGACATGTGTCGATACAGCCAGTAAGCGGAGGTCCCTAAAAGGCGAACTTTAACGATGCATGGTGGGCAGGCTCGCTAGCGAGGCTTACTCTTGACTCTTCTGCTTACCCTTCAGCGAGAGACGGGATAGACGATTCGTGGTGATAGTGACGTTCTCTGTGGCCTGGCGTTAGCACTGATCTGCATGTAGGCGAAGCAAGTGCGCGCACCGTCATCGGCGGTGGCGAATGAAACACGAGAGGCAGAGCCGGAGCTGGAGCTAGACGCGGACGGCGAAGGAGATGGTAAGGCGGGGAGTACGCGGTTCCGGTGGGAGAGAGACGGCAAAGACAGGCTAGTTGAAGACGAACTCGCACTTATGGGTGAGGTCATCTTAAATAGAGAACGAGAGTAAACAGACTAGACAACAGCGAACGACAAGACGACGATGTGTAGGCTAAGACAAAAGGGTCAAAGAGGTAATGTGTCGGAGGATCCGTCGGGCCAGATATCAGTGCTGCAATCGAAAATTGGGGTATCGGCAACAAGAGTCAAGTACGACGGACCCTCCGCCAAGGAGACGGCTGATATTGTTGGAAAGCCTGCGGACGATGTTGATAACGACGAGGACAGTTTTGAGAACAATAGTAAGCGGATGTCCTCGCTATACTACGCTTATCGTGAGTTACCCGGGACTTATCTGGGACTTGTCGCATAAAATCCAAAAATTAGCATTTCTTCCGTGAACTAGACAAGCGATAGAACAAGAACAGTGCGAAGATACAACGCAAAACAGCTGCCTACATTTGCGCGGAGATGGACGAACCAGCCACAGAAATGGCCTGAGAGGATTCAGGGACGAAAGCGTCCTGCATAACATGGTCCTGCTCTCGGGTCAGCTTAAATTGCACTCGCGCTGCTCTATCGGCTTCAGCGACCATGTCACCCCGAGTGGCCTTCCAATACTCGGGGTCCATAGACTGGTGCATCCCGGGAAGCATGCCATTCATAGCCCAGATGTGCCTACTCTTGTAGAGTCCGCCATCTTCGACGGAAACTCCCGCCGCGCGTTGCAGCATCAACAGCATTCGCGGATGAGTGAATAGATGTGGATAGTAACGTCCGCTAATGAGCGAAAGAGAGAGGACGACCTCATGTCCTGGAGGGAGGATGGGATTGAATTTGTACCCCATGGGCGGGTCGGGGAGAGGATATGTCGCGGTGAGAATAGGGCGGGGCTTCGTAATAGGCGTCGATGGCGCAGAGACACTTCCGGGAGATGCTACGTTTGGCGTGGCTTGCGATTGCGGCTCGGATGTAGGCACACTTTGATCGGTCGCGCGCTCCTTGCCCTTGTTCGGTGGCTCCCAATCGTGGTCCACTAGCTCGTATATCATCCCGCTTGCTCTGCACTCCTTTACCTTCTGCGCCGACCCGTCCTTATTGTCGACCTCCACGACAAACAAACCGTCGATCTTCATGAACAGACCCTTATCGGCCGAGCCATGCAGCTCGCTGTCGACTTGAAAGCCTTGTTCCTTGTTCCACTCGACAGTGCCTTTCGAAGGGCTTGCCGGAGGATAAACCACGTCCGAGCCCTGCGGAACGAACTGACGCCGCGAGAGCTTGAGTCGGACGAGCTCTTCAGTCCAGATACGTTCCGCACCCCACCACAAGCCCTGGTATCTCAGCTGCGTAACGACCTTCGGGACAGTATCGAGGGTTCCATTGGCATGACCGTTCATAATATCGTTAATGGATGGGACGTAATCTGAAGGAAACTGAGAGTGGGCGGGAACGTTGATGGTGAATTTGCAATCCCACTCGTCGGTTGGCGTCCAGAAAGTCGACATGTACGAAGCCATTTGAAGAGCCAGAGAGTAGGGCACAATCGCCTCCTTCCACCGAGAGTACCCTGAAGAGTAGCCGGGCTGCGTGTCAGCTGCAACAGGGTCGAACTGCGACATCTTCTCCGGGATATTCGCGAGCTCCTCTGCTGCAGGCGTCACCAGTGCCTCTGGAAGTAGCTGCTGTATCTTCGAGACCTGTGGATCGGGAGGAGCGTATGCGAGATAGGGGAGTACGTCGTCGTCGGACAGCGTGTGAACGTGCTCTGTTGCAAGTAGCCGTATTCGGTACCTTCGTCTCTGCTGAGGCTTCCAGGATATTTTTGGCCTGGGAGCGTCATCTGGGGCCCGTTGCACCGTGTCAGGAACGTCCTGAATGGGCGACTCGAGAGGAATGGCCTCGGCTTTCGTTCGAAAGTCCTCAATGACTCCTGGCCAGTACTCGATGTTCTCATCTTCGTTGTCGGAGCAACGGATAGCGGTGGTCAACGCACACCATACGAGCTCCATATCGCGGCAATAACGTATGCCCTGGATCTCGCGTTTTGTTAGGCAATCCCTAATATCGTTGTCCTTCTCGTTCGAGAGAGCCTGCTTCGGTCCTGGCAGCGGCTTTTCGTATGGTTTTGACAGCTTTCGAACACTAGTATGTGGAGGCTTAGGCGGCGGGGCTCTGCGAGGACGCTGCGTGGGCTGAGATGCTGCTGATGCAGAGCCACGATGGACGCTTAGTCCCAGACCGTACGAGATCTCCTTCTGAGGCCTCTTCGTGCAGTATTTGCATACGCAGTTCGCGCGGTCCATCGTAGGATCGCGGCAAAGCCACTCAGCATGAGGCACGAATTCGTTTACAGACCTAAATCTACCGACGTTTTTAGAGCCTGACGGTTTTAATCACGTTCAGCGATATGTGTACAGGCGAGCGAGCAGGGTAGTTCGTACCGTGCAAGTATGCGTCGTGTCTGGGGTTCTTCTCCGGGCCCTTATGATGATCAAACATGCGATACTCCGCTGGCCATTCTTTCAACACATATGTCGGTCCTGCTACACTCAGTGTCCCTCAATAGGCAGCATAACACATAGGGCGTTGGCAGTACTCACAGGGCAGGCCCAGCGCCGCCGCAACGCGCGGACCCAACTCTTTGCGCCAGTGGACAGACAGGCTCTCATCAAGGGTGACAGGATGCATGAAGTTGACCTCGCCGCTTACGACTTTCTTCTCCGTGTTCTTGGGCCATAAGCTCGAATCGCCGTCCGACCGGGGGATCTCGACCCATGTCGGATTTGGTGGAAGGGCGTGCTTGCCTCCTATCCGTCTCACAGACATTCTGTTCGGCCCTCGCACTGTTCGGCCCTCGCAGCTAAACTGCGAGAGAGTGTCAGAGGTGTAACTGGGTGTGAAGCCCGCGTGAGGCTCGACGCCGGCGTGGGCGTGCTCGAAGCGAGGGAGGGGCGCTAAACAACTAATTATTGCGAGCGTGCGGTCTTTCTGCTTATTTAATCAACTGCACTTATCAGAGCCCGCGCGACTCTTTTTTTTCCACGTTCAACGCTTTTAACTGCTTGACCTCCTCGGCATCGGGCAGAGTACAATCTTCTTCAGCTATCGAGAAATCGCCCGACCCTTCGCAGACATCTTGGCAGACTTTTCAGCTTGTGGTACCGCCGTGAATATCTACTTCCCACGCACAGTCTTCTCTACTGCTGGGGAGTTAAACTACGCGGCAAAAACGAGTGGAAGAAATTCTTCGAGCCGCTTCGCAGAACGTCTACCTCTTCTCTTTTAGCGAGGGTGACGCTTTGAAGAAACGGGACATCTCCCATATGTATCTAGTCGTTTCGCAGAGTAGTGCAACAAATTATGATGATATCCGGACATCCGATGTTGAGTGCATGAACCGGTGACCAGCCGTGACGTCCGTCATGGATCGCGCGACACAGTAGTTCCGTAACAATTTCTTTATGGGCAATTCCGTACTAAGGTTGTGCCAGGAGAAAGACCATGTCCACCACAGTATAAGCTCATGGATACCTAGCATGCTCAGCCCTCCACCGAAACTGATCTCTGAGTCTGAGGAGCAGATTTTTTCAGCAAGGTCTGCTGGTATGTCTCCCATGCAGCAATCAGCTAGACGTGTCATTTAGTCCTGCAATGTAACCGGACATGAACTGGCGTACCTCTTTCTGCTTCGAGATCATACCGCTGAGGAACGCTTCAAGCGAGTTCTTAAAATCTTCGATTCGCTCTTGCTCAAAGCGCGCCATCTCGGATTTTACCAGACGCGAAACCTGGTCAAACTCCTGCTTGGCATCGAGCGCACGACGCTCTGCCTGAGAGACAAACATCAACAACCGACCGTGAGGATAAGATGATTTGCTGGGAACTCACTTCAGCAACGAGAGCCAACGAACGGCTGAGCTGCTCTGGGGTCAGCCTGCCCTGGACACGATTTGTCTCATGTTGCTGCTTCACGCCTTTGACGTGCTTGTCTGCGGTTTGCCACGCATAGTACATGCGAACGCGCGAGCTGAATGCCAGCTGTAAGAACTCACAGTCAGAGCCTGCCGAATGATCGCACAGAGGCACTTACTCTAACAGAATTTATTAGCCGTGCGTACTCATCCGCTAAGTGGATCATAGCCTTAAGCTGCGTTTCAGTATGTCTTGATAGTGAACTTACCAGTAGCCATTACCGTCAACGCGTCTTCATCCGATTGCTTCTCCTGCAACTCTTGTGCTTTGCGTTCCACAACTGCGAGCCCCGCGAGTGCTTTTGCTAGCTGCTGACCGAGCCCGACGTCCGAAGAGGCCAAGTCATGGATAGTCTGTGCGAACTCGCTCGCGGCGAGAGCCAGCTCTGTGCGCTGTTTTGCCACTAGGTCTAAGGACTTGACCAATCCTCGAAGCTGCACCTCGAGGCTGTCCAGGTATCCCTTCTGCTTGTCGAACCACTCGTCGGTCTCATGGAAACGGGGTCCTGCGATGCTTTGTCCTAACGACGCGAGCACGCCGCCCTTCTCATGCGCGATCTCGGCTTTGCGGTGCTTGATCTGCATGCAGTGTAGTGAGTGTTCGCTCTGTGCTAGAACATGTTAAGAGACTCACGTCCAGTGAGAAGGTATCACTCTCTAGGAAGAGCTTCAAGTCTGAATCCTTCTGCAGCACCGGGTGGTTTGAAATCTTGGTCACGCACTTCTCGAGTGCAAGGCGCCGCTGCTGCACGAACTGTGCATCGAAGCGATTGAAGGGGCTCTTCTCTGGTACTGGCGGAACCATCACGCCTGGATTGTTATTCGAGAGGGTCTCATAAAGCCAAAGGAAGTCTGAGTACCGGCGTAGTACTGAGAAGGCCGATCGTGTAAACATGGGCGAGTTGGTCTGCAGGCATTATGAGCTTGACACATAAGGAGTCGATACTGAGAGTTACCTTGGTATGTACAGTGTACATAGTATACCCACGGATAGGATCTCCGACACGCTGTGGATCATCTACACTTATTGTGAACACAGGTGCAATCCCCGCGTCGTTCCTCTTCAGCGGTGGAGGTGACGGCTGCAGCACTCAATAAGACACATAAAAGCGCGTATACAAGAATGGCCACACACAGGAATTGCAGGCGATCCAGTTCGTTGTGCACGCTCCAATGAGTTCATCCTCGCCTGCAGTATCGGCTTGTCGTCGTCGTCGTCGTCGTCGTCGTCATCGTCATCGTTCGGCACAATCGGCCTGTTAGTGCTCGCTACAAACATGGTCTGGCTCCCTTGAGCCATGCTTTGCCAACCGTTCACACTCTCGCCGCCGAGAGCGAGCCCCGAGAACGACCGCTCGAGCGAGTGCGGCTGGTCTAGAGGCGAATGGAAGGGTCTGCTGGGTGCAGCCAGGAGCGGTGACATAGTGGACGCTACCGAGCTTGAAGGCGCATGACCGATGATGAATGCAGAGGACAGCGGGGCGGAGTCCGTGGGGCTCGTCGGTGGGGGCGAGGCAGGTGTCAATGGCGGGTCCTCGTTGACAAGAAGCGGTGGTGACGGCGCACGCGGTGGTGTAGGCTGCTTCTCCTCTGCATACGGCGGCGCAGATGTCAGGATATCGTTTATCGTGGTAGACACACTCTCCCTAAAGCCCGGCGACTTGGGCGAGGCGAGTGATGCCTGCTCGGTGGGCGTCGGCGGTTCTCGCTCGTGTGCGTGAGCGGGCTCGCCCTCTTCGCCTTGCAGAGTCTTGGATGACTCTAGGGGGTCCTCTGCCCCGCTATATGCTACGAAACCTGCGTCAGAGCTTGCGGCCGTGGTACCGGCGAAGCCAGGCTCGTCAAGGGTTGGCGTGCTACCGCGAAGCTCGGCGCCGAAAGGATCACCATCGTCGGTTGGGACATTCGAAGAGGCTGGTGCTTGATAGCTTGTCCATGGGTCAGGTGAGCTTGGCCGTCTAAATGTGTCTGCGAACGGATTCCTCTCGAGCGCATCGCGTGTTGGGGCAAGCAAGTCGTCGAAGCTGTCCATATCTTCCAAGCGTGGGGAATTTCAAGCGGTAGTAAGAAAGAGCGACGTCCCGTGTCTTCGCTTCGGTGTATGCAGAGGCAAGAAATGTTTCTGTGTTATATGGTGGGTATCGCTGCAGCGGGTGAAAGAGCAAGGTACAAAGCGCCCATAATTAATCACGTCGCGAAATGCGAAGGGCGGCGGTAGACAGCGCAGCTCAACCTCCTGTCATTCCCACGTCAGAGCGTTCAGGAGGGAAAAAAGCATATATTAAGGGATCGGATATACAATGTGTAACACATGCGAAGAAAAACCAAGCACAACGAATCCCGCTAAACGCGTTCAACGGCAGCCATCTACTCCCAATACCGCGGTACCTTCGCCTCGCTCTCACCAGCGACCTCCAAGAAATCCGAAGGCCTCTCGCGCTTGAGGTTCCTCCGCCTGTTGTTCAGCGGGAGACGCTGGTATGCCGAATCCTGCCCGGCAGGCTGCTGGTTTGAGAACGGGTTCGTAGACCATTGTTGCTGCTGTTGCTGCATGTACTGCTGGGGCATCTGTTGCATGGGCATCGCGTTCGCAGCCGCGACGGCGGAGCTCGCCTGGATGAGCGCGCTCGCGATCTGCGCTTGCTGCAGCTCCATTTGCAGCTGCTGGTACTTCATCTCGGTTTGTTGCCGGACCTGGGGCGGGAGCGTCGGGTTGTTGAGCATCATGTTCAGTTGTTGGATCTGCGCCTGCAGCTGCGGGATGCTGGCGGCAACCATCTGTGAGACATCAAAGTCACCGCCAGGCTGCTGCTCGCCATAATATTCTTGATCCTGGTGCTGTTGCTCGCCAGAGCCTTCCGCAGGCTTGAAGCGATATCAGAGCTGGAAGCCAGACGCCAAGGTCAAGGACATACCCTGTCGCCGCCAGCAGCGGGCGTTGAGCTGCGTGTTGTCATCTCGATCTGGCTCTCGTTCCTGCTCTTCTCAATCTCCTTGTCAACATAATCAAAGACCCTCGCGCGCGTCGGCTTGTCGGTGATGAGCTTATCCAGTGATGCGATCTTTGTCCCGCAGTTGGGGCATATAAAGTCGCGCTCCAGCAGGTGGGTCTGGATGCATTCTTCACAGTAGATAGTTCCGCAGCACGGGGTCTTCACCGCATCCTTGAATAGCTTGTTGTCAATAGGGCAAATTAATGACGGGTTCGATGGGGTGCGTTCCCGGACTTCTGCCTCCGTAAGACCCTTGGGCTTTTGGACTTGCTTTTGCCATGAGGCGCTATAATAGGAGTTGTAAACCAGTCCAGCAGTCCAGCATGGGGCGCCTGTGGACTCACACGTCTGGCTGCGCGACGACATAACCACCTTCGGGAGTGACCATGACGCCATGTCCGATGTGACCAGTCACCGGGTTCTCGACAGCTTTCAAGAAACTCCTAGGGATACCTGTCGTCCGCTTAATGCGCGGCCGGTTGTCATAATCGCGGTCATTGTTCGTCGGACAGTCTTGAATCCAGTGACCTTGCAGATAGCATGAGATCTTTCCGGCTAGGCGTAACGTAAAAGAGTTACAGACCTTTCTGTCCACACCGGTAGCAGACGTAACTCGGTGGGAGGGGGCGATCGATGTGATGGTGTTGGAACGGCTTTCCGCCGCGGCCAGGTCCTCCGCCTCGTGGGTTCGAATATATGCGCTGGGCTCTGTAACAGCAGGGAAAATAGACAAGAAAAACAGTGTTCATTAGGACATATATGCTACACAGGACAAGAATCGCTGAGCGCGATACCAACTGAGACATCTTTTCCTGAGTTTCCTCCCAATTCGCTGTCTGGGCTTGGAACATGGCGGCCATGGCTGCGGCCTCGTCGTCCTTGGTAATCGTGCTGGGTTTGATGGGCTGGGGCGATCCGCTGAGTCCCGTCACGTATGCGCGCCAGCTCGACTCCGCACTCACCGGTGCAGGCGCAGTTGTCTTAGAGGCACTGCTCGGCGGTTCTTCCTTGCCATCGAACCGCTTCGAAATGTTCCCTCTATGCCAAGAGTGCGAGCCGCCAGCGCCTTGGGCACCTTTAGACGATTCGGAGGTCGCTGTGGAAGAACCTGTTGCACCGGCGATGTACATCGCCGCTTTGCCCTTCCCGGGCTTCGCAAAGACACGCTTCACGACGACTGACGAGGAACGGGGGATGACGTGTGTGTCATCCTTGTACTCTGCAGCCCAATGAGACGGACACACAGACGCAGCGGCCAACAGGCGCACCTTCATTCGACGAGGGGTCCAAGATGACAAGGTCAAAGTCATTCGCCTTACCCAAATTATTGGCCAGGATGATCTCTTTTTTGAGGTCGAATACAGAGATACCCGTTCCGTCAAAGTTCACGCGAGACTCGTCCCTCTGCGACTTGAACTTGTAGAACACTGAGGAAGCCATGATACAAAGTATGCAATTTTTCTAGGAGTCTATTACACGCCAAAGACGTCCAGTGGTCGTTTCAGGGGTCGAGCAGAGCGAAGAGATCAAGGGTAGTGGTCGGCGGAGAGGGCCTGACTGCCGGCGTCTGCGTGACCAAGATTAGTCTAAAGCGGAGCTTAAAATACTGGAGTAAATATTTAAACTCAGACGGGAATAACCGAAAGCGTCTAAGACGCGACTCGAAGCGCCAGATAATTCTGAGATATAGTACGATGTTGGTCGCGACCCGGTTCGCTCTCGACCAGCGGCCAGCATGTCCACCGCCATCGACACCGGCAGCCTTAGGCAGCGTCCTGTGAACGGCATTCGCCACACTCCCTCTGAGCAGGGCAAGGAGACCGACAAGCTCCTCGACTCGCACACCGAGTGAGTCTCACGCTGACACCTCACGCGCGGCAGAGCTAACCTCGACGCGTTTTCAGGTATGAGTTTGGCGGGCCATGGGGCGTCGTGTCTATTATGACCGGGTTCCCCATCCTCATGTACTACCTGTGGATCTGTCTTGTCTTTTACGATGGCCACCTCGTCTTCCCGCACTCCGTCAATGACATTGGACCGTTCTTTGGTCGTATGTGGGAGCATATCCGTGTCGTAAGCCTCTCAGATTCAACTATCTGTATATCTACTAAAGCTCCTTAGGATGCAAGTCCCAACTTGTATGCCTGGAAAGTCTACGGCGGTCTTATCCTTTTCCAACTCTTCCTCGCCTGGTGGGTCCCCGGTTACATGCAGGAAGGCCTTCCTGTCCCGTCATTGAACTACAAGACCCTGATGTACAAGTGCAACGCTCTGGGTTGCGTCTACATTACCTGGGCTACTGCTGCCGTCCTACACTATACTGGTATCTTCCGCCTGACGGCCATCATCGACAACTTCGGACACCTCATGACCGTAGCGATGATAGTCGGCTTTGGAGTTTCCTTTGGCATGTACTTCCTAACTGTCGCGACTGGCAACCAGATTCGCATGTCAGGCAGCTTCATCTATGACGTGTTCATGGGAGCATGCCTCAACCCGCGTATTGGTCCTATCGACCTCAAGATGTGGCTCGAAGTCCGCATCCCTTGGGTGCTCGTTTTTTTCATGTCGGTTTCCGGTGCTTGCAAGCAGTACGAGACATACGGCTACGTCACTCCTGTGGGTCTGGACCTCTCCATCCTGGCGGCGTCATCTAATTTCATTGTAGAACATGGCGTTCATGTGCCTGGCTACCTGGCTATATCTCAACGCTTGCATCAAGGGTGAAGAGTGTATTCCTCAGACTTGGGATATGTTCCACGAGAAGTGGGGTTTCCTTGTCATTTTCTGGAACTTCGCTGGCGTGCCCTTCGTAAGTGGCCTTTCTGAGCGACTGCGCATGATCGATCTAACTCTGCCCACTAGTCGTACATCTACTCTGTGGTGTATATGGCTACTCATGATCCTGAGAATTACCGCTTCTCCACTGTGACCTATGTCATTCTGTTTACCACCCTTCTTACCGCATACTACATGTAAGTGCCAGAGTCACCCTGATATCTATCTGTTCATCACTGACATGCTTATCAGCTTCGACACTTCCATGTCGCAAAAGAGTCGCTTCAAGATGCAGACTCAGGGCATTTTCGAGTACCGCAATACATTCCCTCAGCTGCCGTGGGGCACGCTTCATAACCCGAAGTTCATCCAGACTGCTCATGGTAACCGTCTGCTCATCGACGGCTGGTGGGCTTACTCGCGCAAGCCGAACTACGTCGCGGACTGGATCATGAGCTTGACCTGGGGTCTCTGCCAGGGCACCTGCTCACCTATCCCGTACTTCTACTCCGTCTTCTTCATCGCTGTCCTTGTTCACCGTGTCGGCCGTGACTTTGAGCGGTACGCCACCCATTTGTTCCTGATGCCGGTATGTGCTGACTTGCTCCGTGACAGCTGTGCGTTGAAGTATAGCAAGGATTGGGAGCGGTATTGCCAAGCCGTTCCTGCGAAGTTCATTCCGGGGATCTTTTAGTGAGCCCCAGAACCGCTATCAAAAACGTCTTTATTCGATGTATACCCTTGGTAATATTTCCAGGCTGTGGTAATACTTGCATAGCATCCATATTATCGTACTCACATGATGCGTTCCGTGACATGCTCTATCTCGATATAATAGCCTCTTTTGCCGTGTACTGAGTCTCGGACCGATCTGCAGAACATCTGTCTTGTGTAGCAAGCCTAATGTCACTCAATCTAGGGGAGTGGATCATTCTTGTGTCGTAACGTCGTATTGACCCTCGGCGAAGTGATAGCCCCGGCGCCTGATTCCATCCGACTCTCACGATGTTTTCGCAGCGACCAGAGGTACGGAATACCTGGTGTGTCGAGACACAGCAGCGCTGACTTCATGGCCACAGATTGTGCTTCCGAAACTCCCGAGAGGTAGTACGTTAAATTTCAACGGAAATAGCAGCGCACGATCTCGAAGGAGGCTGGAAGAGTCGGAATCCTCCGAATGGGCCCGTGAGGGGCCCTGAGGGGAAGAATCTTCCGAAATGAAAAGTGCTAAACTGTAATTGAAAGAAGGGTCAGATGTTATCATTCCGTCCAGGTTCACGATGTGTCACGGTACTTTGCCCCGCCGTGCGGCAGCGGCGTGTCTGGGTCGTCACCGTGCACAGCCGACCATGCATGATCGGCGCCTTGAACAGGCCGTAGACACATGCAGGGAGAGTCGATAATTGACATATCTCTCAACCGGAGGCCTATAAGACCCTCCACTTTCGGACCATCTCCGTTCGACCCACTTCGCAGAGCCCGCCCAACAACAGCCATCCAAGACCTAAGTTATTATTCAACCACCAGCAACATGCCCAAACACCTGATTCCCTCTACCGCCGATTCGGCCGAGTCCGCGTCGCTCAAGCATTCCCCCTCAAAGCGCGAGCGCGTCCGCAAGTTCCTTCACCGTGTCTCAAGCTTCGGACACCGCACACACAAGCATGAGCGGGGCCTTTCTCAAAGCACAGCCGTAACCGAGGCGCAGGCGCCCGGCTCAATGTCCTCGCCTGAACAGCATATTATTGACCTCACCGTCGAGCCGCTTCCCGTGAAGGTCCCTCGCCGTGATAGTGTGTCGAGCTCAACGGGCAGCGCTCTCAAGCACAAGGCGGTCAGTAAGCTCGCCGCCGCGGCAATCGACGACGCGAGCTCCTTCCATTCAAGCGCTCCCTCCGACTCGAGCGCCAGCGATTCAGATAACGACAAACAAGTGCCCGAGTCCAAGCCCGCAAAGTATGTCGCGCTGTTTTCATGTTCTCATCTAGTCTGACCTATATTTTCCTCCAGGACTCCTCATGTCGAGCCGGAGCAACCTGCAGCTGATACTTCGGTGGTACTTGAGACCCCGGCTGTCGATGACACTCCTGCCGTTGACCCGGCAAGCATCCCTCTTCCTGCGGATGAGGCAGAAGAGTTCAACCCTGTCCCTCCTGTCTTTCTCAACGAGGAGGCACCTGCACCTGCACCTGCGCCTACACCTATTCCCGCACCAGAGGCTACCGAGCCTCCCCCCGAAATCAGCGAGACTCCCGCAGGTGTTAATGACGCCCCAGCTGTTATCGTTTCAGGTATGCATTCCTTGACATGCGTAATCACACGATGCTGACTTCAGTCCATCCAGAGGGCGCTGCCCCTGCACCCCAAGAAGCAGCTGCCGCTACCGACACACACCCCAAGGATCCCTTCGACGACGCCTATGCCGCCGACACCGAGAGCGTCTCCTCTGCTTCTCCCGAGCTCGCACCCGTTGTCCTCCCTGATAATGTGGAGGCGATGCCGCTAAACGAGCCAGCCGACGCCCCGGTCGTCGTCGATGCCGCTGTCGATCCCGAGCCTCACCCTGAGGAGCAGACCTGTGCCTCCGAGTCTCCCGAGGGCGCAGCTGAAGCCGCCACAGCTGTCGAGCCCATGGTCTTCGAGGCCGTCGAGGCCGTCGTCCCCTCTGCCCCCGAACCCGCCGAGGATGCAGTTGCTCCCGTTGAGCAACCAGTAGAGACCATCATCCCCTCCACTCCCGAACTCGTCGAGGATGTGGCAGCTCCTGTAGAACAACCAACTCAGACTGCGATACCTGACGCCTCAGCTGCAGTGCAGCAGTTTACAGAGGTCGAAGCCGTCACCGAGGCTCCCTCCGAACCCGCATCCTCCATCCCAGACGTTGTCATCGTCGCTCCTTCGCCCACTTCCACTTGCGAACCCTCGGTCTCTGCTACCGAGGCTCCCTCCGCACCCGCATCCTACATCCCATACGCTGTCGATGTCACTCCTTCGCCCATCTTCACCTCTAAACCCTTGGTCTCCGCCACCGAATCCGCTCCTTCTCTATCTAAAGAAATGCCGCCATGTTCTCTCTCGCTGCCTCCTCGAGCACTCCGTCCCCCACGCTCGAGCCGGCACAGAACTCGCTTGCGCCACTCGTCTCCTGGCTCCGGTCGAACTTCTCCGTGCTCAAGGCGTATCTCCCTGCACGACGCTCTGCTCTCCGCTGGCGCACACCCGTGTGCTACGGCGTCGCCGTCATGTGCTATTCCCTCACCTGGTACCTCTCGCGTCGGCCGCCAGTGAACGTCGAGGTCAACCGTTTCAACATGTATTAAACGCATCCCCTATTGTCTGTACCACCAACTGTATCGGTGTTAACCCTTCTCGGTTTATGTACTCGCGCGCTGTTGTAACCCTAGTGTATAACCCCTGTAAGAAAACCCCACTGTTCTCATACACAAATACACGTCGCCGCGTAGCTATGCCTCTGCGGGCCCTTTTAAAGAAGCAAAGTTCATCTGCGGGGAATATTGAGGTTCTGGGTGAGCTGCACGAGCAGGTCCTCTATGCGCTTCTGCCTGTCCTCGATCGCCGCCAACCTGCGCTCCGCCTCCGACATGCCTCCCTCCTCGTCGAGGATCTGCCCCGCGGTCTCCGTCGGGCCGTCCCGCGCCGCGTCGTCGGGGCTCTCCGACAGCGGCTGCGCTGCAAGGGCCGAGACTCCGGCACGCGACACCGGGCTCGACACGCCCGGGAAGCGCCGCTGGCCCTGTTGCTGCCGCGGTGACTGCGCGGCAGACGGCTGGCCGCCCGCGGGGAAGAACGAGTCGCCCGTCGAGGTCGTCGTCGTGCGGCGGCCACTAGGCTGCGGATGCAGACTCGACACGCGGCGGCGCGTCGCGGGGCCGTAGCTCACGGCGCTCGCGCCTGAAGCCGCGGTGCCCGGGGCATCGCCGCCGCCCTCGGCGGGCCCGACGTCGTCCGAGACGTTGAGCGGCTGGAAGATCTGCGCGAGCGGGCTCGGCGCGCTCGTCGCGATCTCGAGGCCGCGCGAGAGTAGCGACAGGGCGCGCGGATGCGGGAGGGGCGCGGACCCCGAGGCGGGCGAGGCCGTCTCAGGCTTCTTGGGCGACGTCTTGGGCGACGTCGGTGGCGAGGCGCCGTTCCCGGTCGGTCCAGATACTTGGCTGCGGACGCTCGCCACGGAGAACGATGGGCGGCCTCGGGAGATCGTGGATTGCCGCCGGTGTGCACGGGCGTCTATAGGAGGGATAGCATCGTCTTCGAGGTCGAGAGCGCTCTCGTCCGCTTCCTCTACCTGCTCCTCGAGCTCGAATATCTGCGAAACGCACAATTTGTATTTGCAAGGTGGGAGAGTTAAAATTGGAGACTTACTGCATCGATGTCTGCATCGGCACCGGTGAAACCCTCGAAAAACGCTGACAACGTCGCAAGTTTACGGTGAGAACCAGACTAGACGATTGAAACTTACATAGTCTCTTCAAGGGGCGCGGGAGCGTGTCGAAGACTTTCTCGGCCGCGGCAGACACAGTCTCGTAGAACGTAAGAGATCCGCTGTGTTTAGCTTGTCGCTCGTATGCTGCAATGAGCAGCAGTATGGGAAAGCTGGTTAGCCTGTGAAACATACGTCTGTCAAGACGTCCGGGCGGGGGGCGGGGAAGTATACGTACCTGATCATGAAAACGTTCACCTTGTGGAACCATCGCGGGCTTAGGATGTAGCTAGCAGGAAGCATCATGCACAACGCTACAAGGTTGATCGGTGGCTGGTAAGAGAAGAGCGAGTCGGCTTTGACACTATCCACCTGTTAACGACAGTTCCGGAAGTGCCAGACATCGTACCTACCCTTCAATGGTTGACACAGCTCTGCGGAACATGGCCTTCCGGGATATGAGTATATGTAGAGCGAAGGGCGAAATCAATGCATACCTCTGCGACAGCATCGTCGTTGATGGTCGTGAACGTATGTGATAATATGGATACAAGGACTGGTTTATTGAATGTCAATAAATGAGTCGGCAAATAAATACGAAAGCGCGCATACCGGTAGTAAGCATGGTGTTGCTCAAGCAGGTGAATGTGATGAACATGAACGGCCCGAAGACAGGATGGAAGGAAACTGTAAGTTCGGTAAGTCAACGAACCCTTGAATGTGCTAGAAAGTTGCTACTCACAAGCTCTATCGAACCCACTCGCGTCCAAGCCGAAGAAAAGATCGAGCATCCACCATGATATCTGACTGTGCGGCCATCAACATATGTCTGGTTATGGCCTATGCACTCTACGCACCCGGCTGAATAGCTGGATCATCAAGTTGATCAGGAGTAAGAAAAGACAGCAGCACGTAACATCGGTCACGTACCCCGCCTGGTTTCGACTTAGACTGTAGGCGTGATGTGAATAAATGATGTCACGTAACAATACTGTAAACGTACGTCCAAAGTGCGTATAGGAACCCTCCAAAACAAAATGCAGCGATGAGCATGAGGACGACGAACTGCACTATCATCGCTCGCAAGGCGAGAACCATGAGGTTATTTTTCAGCGTAACGAAAGCGAGGCTGCATGTATACGATAAGCTCGTCCTGCGGCAACCCCCACGAGACTCGGAAGGCGTACCGAGGGAACATGAGAACAGCGATGAGAGCGAGACAATCAATGCCAGTGGTGCGAGCCCAGTGATCTAAAGATTTTTTATGCCTTGTTCGTATATGAGTCGAAGGAAGACATACGATGATGGTATATTCCGTAGAGACGAAAAACAGCATACGTGCAGAACAATGTTACGAAAGCGAGGTCGAATCCGTTCTGGAACACAGTCTGAGTGTGAGACTACCATGCGGGGACAGAATGAATCTACCCATGTGCCTTTGAAATACACTACGAGTTACGAGTTACGACCGTCAGACTAATTAGACAATGTGAGACAGAGGGTGCCGGTACCTTTGATGCCATGCTCTTGCATAGCTGCGACCTTTTCCAGGGTAAAACCGAGAGCGTAGATCATGAACACTGCCTCAGCCGTATTTAGCTTGTTTAGCTCATTGAATTCCAGTGCGAAGATAAATAGGATGAACAGGATCAAGAAACTGTTTAGATTGTCAGGACTGCGAAGAAATGCTTGCGGATGAACATGCTTACTTCGAGTACTCGAGGACAGATCGAACTGCTGGGACCTTCAAGCTTCAAATTTCGCATCAGAACGACGGCAGAAGTGGGATGTAGTCGATGTGCGCACCGGTAATGATCCAGCAGAGGTGCTTTGTGTGGATCATAGAAGTGAATTGGATTTCGTTTGTATGTCTGAGAAGTACAGGTTAATGCTCCAGTAAGATACAAGACGTCAGGCACGCACATCAGAAAGAATGGAGCGACTACTGTCAGCTTGGTACACTATCTTCCCGCTACATGATACCGCCGTTAGTATCTAAACCGGATAAGGCATACGCGAAGATGATTACCTCCAGATACCGTCAATGACTTTTTGACACGCAGAGCTTTTGATGAAAATTTTAGCTTGACTGATGATAGCAATTTCGATAGCATTGCCGACCCGTTCCTCGAGATCGTCGTCGCGTTCTTCTCTCGCACGAGCAATGAGTCCAGGATCAGCACCCGAGTACACAGGCCAGCTTGTTGTAAGAGCTAGGGAAAGCTCTAGCATATTTGTGGCGTGATGTCGCAGAGTCCGAGTAGCCAAGATTTCGCAAAGTGCGCCTCTAGAACGGGACAGTGATGCAGTGGTGAGGTTGTGGTCGCGCAAGAAATACGCGCGATTGAGCAGAAAGCAAAAGACAACGCCCAAGTTGCCTCTCCGTTGCATCCCATTGTACTTTTCTTCCAGGGGCCTTATGAGCGTATACGTGAGGTCAGGTGCTGTAAGCTGTAAAACCCGTCTATTGAGCGCTCTTTGCAGCGGTTTAAGGAAGGCACGTCACCAACCGCTTCCACAGTCAATGGTGTGTCTTAAAGGCGCATTGAATAAACTATCTTATGACAACAACCAGTTCGCGCACCAATGAAATGCTAAAGATGTAACAGCATCATAGTTAGAGGCGTCTGTCCTTAGAGTAGCTGTCGATACGACTCACGATGGCATCCTAGCAAAACCGTTCGTCAATTTGTGCAAAATCAAAAACAAGAGACATGCTTACACTTCGTATCATCTGAATGACAGGATAGACTTCAGTTGTATCCACGGCTCTTTGCCTGAGCAAAGGCTGCCTTTCGGACTCGTGCTCCCGTCGCGTAGGCATGACAATCGCGAGAGACGTTTACGGGAATGATAAGCCTAAAGAATATTATCGTTCGAATAAACAGACAGCAGGTTGTGAGAGGGCGGAGGGCAAGCTCATGTAGGCCTACGAAAACGCGTGCGGTCAGCTTGAGGCTCTGGGTCAAGCTTGCTGTAGACGCCAGGACGCGTTTGGCAAGCGCCTGCCTCTCAGGGGCGCTTGTGGAGCCACAGATCATCACGGCCTGGACGGGATTTTTCCCACACTTGGTGTGTCTCTTACGACCATGTCGACCCGCACGCTCCGCAGACCAAGGCAGAGCTCCTCCGTGCAACATGACAACACCGAAAAAGAAAATACAGGACGGCCTAATGGAGTGAATGCAGAGCATAGGCCGAAAGCCAAGACAGGAGGCAAGGCCCGCAAAGGGTGCTGCTCCTGCGGGCAACCAGATGACGGATCGCCAATGATCCTATGCTCTGAGTGCAAAGAACTGTATGTAGCTGCCTCTCCATATGGCTGCTATCGGGGGATGTTGACCATAGGATTAGGTATCATTTCAAATGTGTGGATCTGGACGAGAGGGATGCCGAAGATATACGTGAGTTTTCGTTATCTCTGCGCCATGAGACTATGCTCAATTCTTGTCGTTTTTCTAACCAGAGCTATTCGTCTGTCCGTCATGTTATCAGAAGACAGGCCTACGAACAGTCAGTGAGTATCAAGCTTCGTCTTTTCACGCCTCTTTTCTTCAAACTGTAGGGTGTTTGTGGCTGCCATTCCCCGTTCCCGTCATGTATTTCACGCAATATCATGTAGTAACAACGTGCGATACCTCCTGTGTTCTTGTGCACCCCATAGTAGACCAGCTGAGCACTAGTCATCGTCGTCGTCATTATCGTTTGGCAGTGACCAGAGTGAGTTTGCGGCCGTCCAAGACATTCCGTCTCGCTTCTGGAGCTGCCGAAACATGTTGGTGTATGAACGTTCTGGTTTGGCTTCTGGTCGTTGCTCTGTGTATATGGCGCTCGTCAGACTGGCCGCAGCTTATTAACTCACGTCTTACGGACGTGAGAAATAAACTAGCGGTTACACGGGACAGGCATACTACCCATAACTTTATTTGAAACCTCGACGTTGGGAACTTGATACTGACGCATGACGATTTTCAGTGGATTGGGAAGGGCCAGATGCTCTCGAAACTCGTAATGCCGCTCCTACGACAACACCTACCCCTGTGAAGAAACAGCCTTCTCCTGAGCCCACGCCAAAGAAAGAACCAGAAGCGGAGGAGTCAACGGATGATAGCAGCGGGGATGAATATGTGGCGGAAAGCATGAAGCCGAAGCTCAAAGTACGTCTCGTCAGCTGCCCATTGTGTTTACCCCTGTTGATGTGCTGCGGATGTTCCTAGCGTCGTCGAGTACGTCCACTCAACAGCGACACAGATTCAGAGTCGGACGACGACACCAAGCGCAAGAGTGCCTCGAAGCATGCACGTCAGGCCAGTGTGGCCTCATCAAGCACACGAGAACGTACCGTCTCTGCATCACCCGGGCCAAGTGGACTGTTGAAGCGCAGACAGTCCACAGCGTCGCACCAGCCAGAGCCTAAACGAAAGCGTTCGGAATCTGAGGCCTCCAATGCAGGAGTAGATCCCGCAAGGAAGTACTGCCTGACCAAGTTGCATGAATTATTCCGCAACATATTCTTGCGATATCCTGTTCTCCCCGAAGCTGAGGGCGTCTCTATCGAGAAGAAACCCGAAGAGTTGACTCCGGAAGAGAAGGTGGTGCTTGAGGATAAGGCGAACCGCTTCGCTACAGATTTGGAGGAGTGCATGTTTGAACTGTATGCCGAACCTGACGCGAAGACAGGCAAGCGCACTGCTGCTGCCAAGTATAAGTAAGTTTCACCTCTTTGTGCATCCTGACCCGTCATACTGACCCATGGTCACAGGGAGCGTTTCCGTATGCTTACATTCAATTTGAGCAAATCTGACCGAGTTGTTCTGCACAAACGGATAGCCGCGTCACATATCAGTCCCAAGGAACTATCTACTATGTCTTCTACTGATTTGGCAGACGAGGAGACCAAGCAGTCCATCAGACAAGCCGAACAGGAGGCTTTGGAACACTCGATTCTGAAGAAGACCGTCATGCCGAGAGCAAAGATGACTCACAAAGGCATCCAAGACATTGAGGATGTTTCTGGTGCAGCTCAGCGCGATCGTGAACGGGAGCGTGAGCAGGAGGAGGAGGAGCGGATTGAACGAGAGCGACAGGAACGACTTAGGCTTCAGGCTCAGAAACAGGCTGCTCGTGCATCTGTTCCACCAGACTCTCCCGTTACGCCTATAACTCCTGGCTGGGGTGCCCCGCCACCCGTCCCAGTGCACGCATTGCATACAAGCGATCCAGACGCAATGGGCAGGTCACCCGTGAATCCGTTGCTTGTACAAACCTCGTTTGAGCTGGCGCCATCTACGCCCGTCGAGCAAGAGCTCAACCTGGCGGACCTCATTAACATTGATGAAGAGCCTGGCCAGGAGGTCTCTATCTCCCTCGTCACACCTGACTTGCTACCGGCTTCCGACAGTGCTCCTACCCCGACCGAGTCGAAAGCCTCTGCTGAATCGGTACCCGTGACACCTCTCACTGGCATCTCACCCTTCGCATCGAGGTCTTCTCACCCCGAACTCGCCTCTCGGCCTTCCTTCGACCTCAACGCAATTTGGTCGCCCAAGGAGGAGATTGCCCCGGAGATTCCAGATTCCCAGGACCTCAAAATGCAAGACGAGCAGCCACAGGACCCGTTGACTGCTTCACCGCTTGGCGTGGAAATTATTGGAGAGGAGGCGAACGACCAAGACTTTGACATGTTCCTCAACGGGGCAGACGAGGAGCCCGAGGCTGGACCGGCTACACCTGACGCACTCCCGCAGACTCCCGAAGATATTCAGGCTGCTCACGACGCGCAGACTCCAGTCTGGCAAGGCAAAGTGCGTGCCCATGAATATCCTGTCAATGATAGAATATACTAACGGGATTTTGTACAGGTAAGCATGCCATTAGACTCCACCATACCGCAAGAAGTGGATGTCAACGCTCGACTAGCTGGCGGGCGAAAGCTGGAAACTGACTCATTATTGTGGAAGACACTATTCCCAGTCGACCACCTCCGCATTGACGGACGAGTGCCGGTTGACAAGTCCGCGCAATACCTCACTCAATCGAGACTGAATTCATCACGAGAGCTCATTGCTGTGGTGTTCTCACCAGATTCAGAGGCGAGCGCGAGTAGCTTCAACTTACTGTCGAAGTACCTCATTGATAAAGGGTACGTACCACTACACATCTCCTTCGATTTGGCACTGACATGAACTTCTCTCAGACGCCACGGTCTCATATTTCCTTGGGGCCATAGGCCAAAGGAGCACCATCCTGGCCGCGAACTGTATATTATCCCGCTCCCGGCTAGCGAACCACTACCCGAATTCATCGAGTTGTTGGACGACCTGCAGCTACCGAAAATTCGAAGACACAATTGTATGATTGGCGTCTGGGTCCTCACCAGGGGTAAGCTTGCCCCTCCAGCCAATATGCCGGTATCAACTCCTCCAGCACCCCCAACGCCCACCCCAATAATTCCTCCCCCGGCTGCCGCTGGAGATGAATACCACCAGGTACCGCTACAGTCATCCCAGCCTCTGACGCCTCAGTTGCCATCCGCTAGTCCAATACTATCCACATCCGCTCCGCCACACTTACCGACTAGTTTCAAAGAAATCGTGTCACTAGGCCCCGACCGAATTAAGGAGATGTTGCGTACTCTGTCTGAGAGCGGCCAGATAACAATCGCACCTGTACCAGCTGAACAGCCTCAGCCGGCTGCGCTTATGGCAATGCCGCCGCCGATGCCCTCCGCGGTCTCGCCAGTTGCAGGACCACATCAGCAATGGGTCGGCCTCCTACCCTTCCCATCGGCGTACCCGCCCGTGGCGGGCCAACAGCCTGCTGTGCCGCATGCGCCCTATATACCACCTTCGTACGAGCAATACGGCTCTGGCGTTCCGCCACCGCCGCCGCCGCCGCCTGCCGGGCATCAGTACGATTCGTTCGACCGAGGCGGGGGACGTGGACACCGAGGCAGGAGCGGTGGGAGAGGAAGAGGAAGAGGACAACAGGGCGACCGACAGCGTGATTCGGGGTGGGGAGGTCGAGGCACAGGTCGAGGCAGGGGCGGCCAGCCAGGTGCTTCATCCGATCGACAGTGGGGCTCTCCGCAAAGATGGAACCAGTGAAAGCAAATGTAGTGTACTGTTAACTGTATACCACGTTGTCATACCTGTATCCTCTCTTAATCTGACTATCATGTTCAGGAATTAGTCTGCTTTATCGTGAAAAGTTCTCGAGTACGTCCAAAAATGTCATAAGAGATCGTGCCTGTTATAAATGATATGGTATCCTAATACGATGAAGTATAAATTCCGTGTCCACTCTTCTTCGGCGTTCCGCACGTCTCACCCAACATTCATTCAAAAGGCATCGGCTCCAGCGCCTCGACCAAGCGACCCCAGTTGACGGTGACGCCCTCGCAGAAGTCGCGTTCCTCTCGGGCAAGAGTCTTCGCAGCTTCAGTAAGAAGTGTGTTCTCCCGGTTGTGTAGCACAACGCGAAGTTCATGCCACATGCTATCAAGCGCGGTCAGCGTCATGTTTTGTGTCGTCGAATATGAGACCCACCAGGCTCGGACGAAGACTCTACGATTGAGTGCTGCAGTGATACCGGCCTGGTCCTTCTCGATCAAGCCCGAAAGCTTGTCGGCCTCGACTTCCCAGCCATCCTTCCTGGCTTGCTTGACACCCTCCAACTTCAAAGAGTTGGTCTCAACGCGCTTTTTCAGCTTTTCGACTTGATCGCCAGACAAACGATCATGGCGGATGAAGAGGTCTCGGGTCGCAATGTAGAGATCTCTCTGGGCCTGATAAAGATATAAGCATTTTTGATGTCGACCAATGCAAGGTAGAAGAAACACCTTAAGAGCTTCGAGCGTCGAATACAACAACGTGCGCGCCTGAAGTTCGACGTCAGTAAGGAAACCTTGCATAATGCGAGTGGATTGTTTCTCACCCGGTGCTCCAAAGCGTCTCCGTGCTGCTGAGTGTGAGCGGCGACGCTCGCCACGCCTTGGCGAACACCGGAACATAGCTCACACTCATCCCCACGCCAGCACTTACTGTTAACCTCAACTACCACCTTGAGGGCGTTGGTCAACCTCGCCGTGTCCGCCTGTGACGGATTATCCAATGCACGCCCGGGATGCATTAGCCCAGAGAACACGGATGAGGCCATGGAGGCGTTGTCGGCGACGTCGGAAGAAGAAGAAAACGAAGGCAAACCGAAGTGAGCTGGTATGAAGGGTCGCCGCGGAGTAGTGGGAGGGACCCGTACCGCTGCTGCCTCGCGCCGCTTAATCATGCGCTCGGCGAGAATACAGATCTTTTGCCATTGTTCGATTAGTATACCGATCTTGCCGCGGACAATACTACGCCCTTGTTAGCTTTAATCGTAGTACCTGTTCCAGGTTGGAAACGCACGCGAGTTTGTCCTCAAGATCACTGGGTATGGCCATCTCCTCGACTCGGTCTACACGTTTGCTGACAGATTCCTCCTCGTATGAGATGGTAGAATGTTTTCGCCACGACTCGAAGGATGGCTCTGTCAAAAAGACAGCCAGCAGTCCGTCTTCTTTGATTACGGGGTGGTTACTTAATTACACATGAACATTTTGGTTTGTTTCAAAGACGAGTGCACTCACATCACGAAGTTTAGGAAGCGAGCCAAGCCCCTCCTATAGCAAGTGTTATAAAGGTCGTCATTCGACTAATGTGACCTGGTTACTTACCTGCGCTGCTCGATAAAGCTTTCATCCGCTAAGCTGCGCTAAGTAAAAATAACGGATGTAATAGGCATAATGAGTACTCACGTCCCAATCTCTTCGGGGGGAGTGACGGAAGGAGTCTGAAAGGGTATCGACGAACTAGACAGTCCCACAATATGACAAATTCTGAGTATCGACGAGGTACCGGCGGTGCACGCTACATTTCCATCAGCCGCAAAATATATAGCATTAGACAAATAACGTACATCTGTCGCGACCTCGTACACAAGATAACGATTCAAAATGAACCCCTGCTGTCCGAGGATGTTCACCGTTATGTTTTCCTGTCTCCTCCACCAATTACTTGGTAAGCCCGTTCCGGAGATACTCGAAGGAATCCCATTAGACAGGATTCCGTTGGCGGCGGTAGGTGGAGGTGCGTTCGGAAGCTTGGATGCATTCCACGGGTCATCGGAGTACGCTCTTACCGGCATCGGCGCGCGTATTTGATAGTTCGCAAAGCCAGAAATGGAAGGGGCAATCGCTGACAAGTTAAGCTGAGGTGCAGGGAGCGCATTCTCTTGTGCGAGTGCGGCAACCATTTCGATGCTCAGATCTAGTGCATCATCAGTCGATGTTTAGGCAGCACTCGTATTTGGGCTTCCATGGTATATGACATACCTCTTCCACTTTGAGCAATTGCGACGAGAGCCAAGGCCACGAAGAACTCTTCTTTGGATACGCGAGGTTTGGAGCTTACAAGGCTGACAATCTGCATAGAGATGATGAACTTCTGAAACTGAACGACAGAGCTCTCTCTCACTTTATCAATAGTAGTAGCTGATAGTGCAGAAGTTTCAAGAACGCGCGAAAGTGCGTTTACAGAGGTTTCACCAATGCTGGCTGCGTCAACTGTGGCGAAGGCTTCATGGTAGATCGGCGGCACGGCAGCTTCTCCTGGTTGAGGGGGTGAATACACGAGAATTTTTGAACTGAGCGGCTCCACTTGCCAATAACGGAGGTGAAACTCGAGCCTCCACCAGTTGCCGACGAGGATGGCAGCGGTGGAGGTGCCGGGCTCGGTGCTGAGCTCCATGGATCGAGGCCGTCCGAGTCATATATCGAATTTGACAAAGGATTATCGACCATAGAGCCAACCCCGAAGTTGTTTACAGAATTTGAACCGTAATTTGGTGCAAGCCTAGGAGTATTGAACATGACCTGATGCGTCGCCGTCGTGTGGACATCGGCGAGCGGGGGAAGCGCGCGAGAGATAATTCCAGCGCCAAGTGTACGTGAAGCGCCTCGGGATGTAATGAGATCAGTAAGTATAACTACTGTGTCCTTACTTCAGCTAAGAGATTTTGAAGCATGGTAAGTAGAGCTCTTACTGAGAATACTTGCCTTTACTTACAGAACACGTACCACGTGTAATATAGGCCTTCACGCGGAGTAATTAGAACTCAGCAAGCGCGTCCTGCCGTCGCGTGAGCCTATGTCCTCGTCGTTGCCAACGTTCACCCCGGAATACTCGCTGTCGCCTCTGCCGCCGCCATGCAGGCACCGACAAGACTGCCAGGCCAGCAAGCCCCCGTCAAGATTTATAATGCCGTCTACTCTTCCGTACAGGTGTGTACTTTCGACGCGTTCCGGGTGGGAAAGGTGGCTTGAAAGCAGTATAGGTATATGAATGTATGGTCCGCGGTATAGCGGTTATGCGCAGAAGAGCAGACTCTTACGTCAACGCTACGCAAATACTAAAAGTCGCCGGCGTCGATAAGGGTCGTAGGACAAAGATTCTCGAGAAAGAGATCCTCCCGGGGAAGCATGAGATAGTCCAAGGGGGTTACGGCAAGTACCAAGGGACATGGTATGTACCCCGCTGCTCGATAACGCACCTCCTCTCTCACACTTTGCCTAAGGATTCCTCTTGAGCGTGGCAGAGACATCGCAGTGCAGTTTGGTGTCGCCTCCCTCCTCACACCGTTGTTTGACTTCGTACCGAATACCAACGCGATTGGCGCACTCCCACCTGGACTACCGCCAATGACAGGTGCAGTATGCTTTCTGACCGTTGCTGGACATCTTATACTTAGCGCACGGCTAGGGTTCTCTCCCGCTGGTCTCGCTCCTCCGCCAATCATGCCTGGTTCCGCGTTACGCCTCCTCAATCAAGGGCGCGCCCAAGGTCTCTTTACGCCATCAACGTCTACCTTAACTGCCAGTAGACCTTCAGGATATGGCTCGCCGTCACCGTACTACCCGGGCCCTTACACGAGCTCGCCATTCAACCCTCTTTCCGCCGTATCGCCTACACCACCTCCATCTCAGCCCCCTCTCAAGCGAACTCGGTCCGACACTGAGAGCGACATGAGCGTGAACAGCATAAGGACTTTCCCCCCTCCGTTAGCAGCATCACCGGACATACAAATGGCTGACAGGTCACGGCCACCTTCGACAGCGCCACTTGACAGCGCCGATGGGCCCTCTCCCAACAAACGAGCCCGAACAGAACCCGCGACGTCGCAGCTTATACCTACCGCTCCAAGCTCACCTATCTCGTCGCAGGTACGCCTTCCACTAACAACCCCCACTCCGAGCGCGAACGAGCTGGCCACCGAAGGAAGCTCGCAGTCTGTCATTGACAGCAAGGCAGCTCAACTTCAACCCAGCGAAGATTCTTCAGAGATCCGACTCGCGACTAAGCCTGCGCTCGCGCTCGGCATGGATCCTGCCGCGCCTGCGCGAGACGCTAGACGCGTCGCGACTATCGCGCATATATGTCAGAGGGACGAACCCGTAGCCGTTTTGAACGCACTGCGCGAAATCCCTCCAGACAATCCTGCTGTGGGGAATTGGGACGTGGACCTGGTCCTTGACGACCAAGGTCACACTGCACTACATCTCGCTGCCAGCATGGCACGTCACCAGACCGTGCAAGCCCTCATTGATAACGGTGCTGACGTGCGCCGGGGCAACTATAACGGCGAAACCGCCCTCGTTCGCGCTACCCTCGCGACAGCGAATTACGATACCCAAACATTTCACACTCTTGTGACTACCCTCCACACGTCCATACGGACATTAGACACGGCTCGAAAGAGCGTTTTGCATCACATTGTAGCATCTGCTGGCGTGAAGGGTCGCACCCACGCTGCGCGTTATTACCTCGACCAGATACTCTTCTGGGTTGCACAGCACCAGGGAGGTGATTTCAAAAGCTTGGTCGACCTTCAGGATCATTACGGCGATACCGCGCTGAATATTGCTGCAAGGGTCGGAAACCGTAGCCTAGTCCGGACCTTGCTCGATGTAGGTGCGAATCGCGTATTACCCAACAGACTGGGGCTTCGTCCGGGAGACTACGGTGTTGAGACCGAGGTACGCGAACCTCCCTCGCTCATCTCCAAGCTCCATAACTTCTTGTAATGTAGGAGCTTGGCGGTGGTCCTCGTGCCGAAGACATCCTGTCTTCCCTCCGCGGCGGTCCGTCGATTCCGGTGCAGAAGAGCCAAGACGTCTTAGCAGGTTGGTTGCTCCGATTGGATGACAGATCCTTCTGGTACTGAGGTACGCCCAGACATCCAAGCCATCATACAGGAGCTCCAGAGTGACTTCGCCGCTGAGGTCAAGACCAAACAAGATGCACTCGATGTGACTGGAGCGCACCTGCGGGCTGCAACGCGCGAGCTCTCTGAGCAGCGGAAGCAGATCTCTGTCGTGCAGGCGCAATGCGCCGAGCTTGACCTCGTAAACCAGCGGATACGCAACCTCGAAAAAGCGCTCGAGGAGGAAGACAAGTTTGACTGGACAGGGCGAACAGAGCCCGACGGTTCCGACGCCGGGTCGATTGCAGGTCTCGCCTTCCGCCTACGTGGCCTTGGTTCGACGATGGCAGGCATCGGCGGCAGCGTCGATCTATCGTTCAGTCTCGACTCTGAGCCCGCGGTGCCGATGGCGGACTCGATGCACAGCCTGATCCGTCTCAGACGGCTGAGCATGTGGCACACGCGTATCGAAAAACTCGTCGAGCAACGGCTGAACAAGCTCCAGGGCGCCAGTGCTGAGAGGGAGTTCCTGTGCAAGAAGATCGTTGCGTTGTGCACAAATGTACCCCTAGATAAGGTCGAAGATGTAAGTTCTGTGCCCTTCTGCTCAAAGCCATCGCTCACCATCGCCACTTCGATCAGCTGCTGGAAAATCTCGTTATCGCAGTGGAAAGTGAGTCGCAGGTGATCGATATTGGAAGGGTGTCTGGCTTCATGCAGAAAGTTTGTCACAGTGCTTTTAGTGTGATATCTTACTTACTGACCGTTCCGTTCAGGTTCGGAATGGTATAATGTGATTTGATACAGGATATACATACGGAAACCGTCAACTGTCGTTGCTCTCGGTCACATGTTATTGTATCATTCTCAAATCTCTCATCCACTTTATTCATAATATTCCACCGATGGACTGTGGCCTGACGTTGCTTGGCCGCGCGTCGGCTGAATACAGGCATACATTTTGGGGCAGAGATAGCGGCAAGATGTACAAAGACTACACGGGGAGTTCTTCCGGAGCAAAGATTTGGAAGTTACGGTTGTACGTCCCAGACGCAAGAAGTTTCGCGTCGCTCGATAAGTCAACAGACATGACCTTCCCGCCATCCGTCGGCAACGTGCGCAGCAGCTGCCAATCATCCGCGCTCCAGATCTTGACAAACCCGTCGTAGCCCGCGCTCGCAAGGTACAGTCCCGAACGGTACCGCCACTCCTCTTCGGTGGAGTCTGCGCCATTCGCCTGTGATTTGCTCTTGTCGTGTGACTGGTCCTCGATACCGTTCATCTCGACGTCGGGCGACGACTCGGGCTTGACGTATGAGAATGCCTCTTGCGCAGTGAAGAAGCGCACATCGGCGACGTTCGAGAGGTGTGCTGGGATGGTGTACAGCGCCTTCAGGGAGCGCATATCCCATACGCGGACTGTGTCGTCTCCCGATCCTGTCGCGATCTGGTGGCTAAGAATAATACTCAGGACATATTTGTTGTGAGTGGACGGAGGATGCTTACCCGTTTGGCGAAAAGTCGATGCCATAGATGGCTTGGACATGACCATCGAGGACCATGGCCGTTCTACCTGTCCGCAGATCCCATACACGGCCAATCGCATCCAAACCTCTGTAACGGGAATGAGCACTCATCTTATAGAGATAGAAAAGTCACTGACCCAGATGCAACAAGCGCACCGTCCTCCTGGAACTCCACTGAATAAACTTCCTTTGAGTGACCTTCCTGCAACAAGAGTTCCTTCGCGGTCGCCACGTCCCAAAGCCTCCAGGATGTGTCGAAGCTTGCACTTGCAACATAGTCGCCCGATGAGTGGAAGGCAACACGGCAGATACGATCTTCGTGACCTTTCAAAGTCGCCAATGGCGTCTCGCTGTAGACCACGCGTTGCTAGAGGTTCTAACGAGACAAAGTTGGATGCGACGCACCTGTTGAGAGACCACAGCTGCAGCGTCAGATCACCAGCGCCACTGACAATGTTGACGGCGTCTTCGCTGTGACCAAGAGTCGCTTTCGGATGCCAGGCTACTCCACCTACGCGGTCAGAGTGCCCTGGTGCGAGGTAAGCCAAATTTGATAACGCGCTGGTGGCCAAGACGTACCACGTAACGTGCGTATGAGTCGGCAAGAAGGGACGTCCCATAACTTGACGTTCCCTGCCCAGCTACCAGTTGCAAGAATGCTGCTGTTCGGGGAAAACCTGACTTGCGAGATCGGTCGTTCGTCGCCAATTTGTGATCCAAGCTCCGCGAAGTTCTAGACTCCCATAATGTGAGAACGCACACGCGTGAGGGGCAGAAACGTACCTTGACCTCAGCGAACACTTTCTTCCGGATGTCGATAATCCGCCCAAGCGGTATCTTGCTGTCTATTCGCTGCTGAGCGATGCGTTTTTGAGCTCTATATGGGGAACACAGAAGCAAAAAGGAAGGCAGTAAGCACCTGTCTGGGTCCAACCCGACTATGGGCAGTGGAAATCCAACCTGGGCAGAGAGTATTCCGCTATACGTCTTCGGGCCTCCAGAAGCTCTAGTGTGCCCTCCGAATAAAATTCTTCCTGCTGAGGTATGGTGAGCAAAAACTGATATGGTAGTCATGGCTAACACACCTCCTCTTCGCCCTCCGATTCGCTACTCTCCTCGTCAACTTGCATGGCATCCTCACCTCGAGCGGCATTGATTTGGGAAAGGACATAAATGAGACGGTCTCGCCGGTCCGCCGCCTACATTTCAGTAATGTATGAGCACCAAAGCAGAGCTTGTAGGTCAGCACACGCACCCGCTCTCCGAAAAGCGTGATAGGCTCTCCAATTTCACGCAGCCTGGCCTTGACCTTGTTGTCGTCGGTGGGTACAGCGAGACTGCGAGCCTTCTTCTTGCGCTCTAGTTCGTCAAGAAGAACCTTGTTCTCGACACGAGCCCTTTCTGAGCCCAGGTAGTTGCCATCGTCGATTAGCGTGTCAAGTGTGAGCTCAGACATAGCAGATCCAGGTCAAGGTGTGAAGCGTCACGTGAGAGCGCTCTTGAGCGCTTTAGCGTGCCCCGCGCGTCGCGCGGTCCAGGCGAACACCCGACCTAAGTTACTTAGGATTCAGACCCCGAATCCTATGGTGGCAGGATTGGGTGAGCTATTGCGCAGCCATATTCCACACAAGCTACCAAGGGATTTGATTATAATTAACTGCTATTTTTTGATTCCGCATGAAGACAGAATAAGTAGGCCTAGGCCTAGCCTAGTATATACTCTTGGTACGCATCCCTCTTCCTACCCAGTTGATCGCTTTGGAAATGTTAGTCCGAAGATCGGCAGCAATAATGCCCGAAACCGATCAGAGTATACGAAAGTGAAAGCTGAAATCGGGGGTGGGGGAAGGGAAAAATGGGGGACTGCGGATAGCTGATAGTAAGAATGGCCCGTGCGAGGGAAAGTAGCATGTGTCGGGTGCAGACTAGTATGATGCAGATAGTCTGCAAGAAATCTCGGTCGCGGAAGAAGCTTGAGAAATCAAGCATTACACCTGCCATACGACATGAGTTGTGTAGGGCGTGTTTGTTGCAAACCATCATGGGTACTAGAGTGGATAGCTGTGAGAATAGTAGATGGGCATAAGCAGAGCCTAGGCTAACAGAGAGTGTACCAGCTAGAATCGCACGAAGAATGACAAGGACCTACTGCGATAATCTCGGCAGTGCGTACAAAGAAGTGTGAGGACTAGAAGCTGATCGCTATGTGCAGCCAATATAAGAATAAAGAGGCCATTGGTAAGTCTCGCTAGGGTAACCAGCGTCTGCAGCCAGCTCTAAAGATATGTCAGCAAGTGGGGCCCAGGCCTAGAAGGCAGGTTGCTGAAAGCGCACCTAGAATGCAGCTCCCAGTTAGCCAAAGGGCGGGTAGAGAATAGTGATGAAAACCGCGACGAAGATCCTGTTGTTGCGCCAGAAGGACTATCAAAGAGCCCGAAGAGCAGGCCGTGACGTTGACGAGCATCCGGACAGGCGGCAGCGGTGGGAAGCAGCCGCTGCTCACTCCCCTTCCTGTTGTAACATCCCTTTCTCCTCGAGTTGAGTCAAAGATAGTACTTACTCGACAGGTCGGAGTCGGCGGCAACACGAGCACGATGGTACCTGGGTGGACGGCCATGAGATTGCATCACAAACACTCGCGTGCGACATTGCAGTTTGTTCAGAAAACTGAAAATATCACACGCAGGTGTTTGCCACCGAAGAACCTCTTCTGCGATGATGAACCTGAAGGTGGCAGATTGAAAGGCAGGGAGCCGCGCCCTGCTGCTACCCAGAATCGGGACGCTCCGGCATCAAATAGTCCCGGATAGGCAAGCAGCGGCCGTGTGGCGCTCCACTTTAAACCATCGCTCTAGCTTCAAGTTTAGTGCTAGCGAAAACCTATCCGTTCAGATCGACGACCTTCCGGCCAGAGTTATCTGAACTATTCTGAACTAATCCGCCTGGCTAAACGCACATCGGAAGATGGTCCGCCGCCAAGCCGACAGCAATCGGAGTGACGCAGCACGAATCAAGGTTCTTTGACACGACGCGACACGTCCTAGTTTTGGTAGCAGGAATGCAACATCGTTTTGCCTAATTCTTTTCGGGGCCTCCTTCACGTCCGCCATCTCGATTGTCCAGCCTTGCACATATACTCGATGTCCGACAGGAAACGAGAGTCCGGTCAAGAGACTGGTTCTGGGCGGGCGCGGAGAAGAGTTAGACGCACCGATCCGACATACATCTGCTCGTGCACACACAAGTGTTTGGTACCAACCATCTTGACACCCTCGACCTGGTATCGCCACGGGAAGTGGAGAGAAAAAGACGAAGCAAAAGCCTGGGTTAGCAGGAATAACGCAGACTCTAACAATTTCTTGGTACCTCAGGAAGCTGGCGGTCGCAAACTCCCTCAAGAACCTCGTAAAAATTAGCAGGTGATGTACGAGATTGAGCACAGCAACGGAGACGATGCGGAGCTCGAGCAATATCCTGAAGAATCCGCACCATATGATGAGATCGCTACACCTGAACCAGTAGGTGGTCTCGCTTTGTAAAAGCATTAATTACTCACCTGTCTATCCTTCATCAGAACCACGAAGATTATGGGTCCTAGCTTGCTAAGGATTCATTCATCGTCGAATGGCGGAAGAACTTAGAGGATGCACCTGTGCGTAAGCAACACTAGAACAATACAGCCTCTCTGCTGATCTAATCCGCATATATGCTGCTCTAGGCGAACGGTCGTTCATCTTCTCGCGGAACCCATTCTCAGTTCTCGTACATGTACTATGAGCGGCCTCCGAATAGGTTTGAACTGCGGGGCGAGGAAAATGCGGACAGCTGGAGGTGGAGAATGGAAATAGAGGCACTTCAGTACGTCCTTTTACCTCTCTACTTTTAATCAGGTGGTTATATGCGTGAATTTGCTCCTCTAGATGGCGAATTTTCACTCGACAGGACACGCTGTTCAACAAGCTCTGCAAGATATCGTATGTTTCATCCATTATTGCCGTTGGATGCTAACAGATGTCACGTAATACCCAGCGAACAACTCACGCTGTTCCAGGAAGACATCTGGGAGCAGCTGGGGGCTCTCAGCGCAGAGCTTGCCGCCAGCAGCTCCGTGTGGGTCGTCAGCTCATCCCATCCTCCTAGAGATCGCAGCAAGCGCGGCAACGTCACCTTCTGGCACAAGCGGCAGTGGCTTGATTTCTTCGGTAACAATTCGGGAGATTCCGGATCCGACGACGCATATAAGGAACGCAAAATCGTTAGGAAATTCCAATTCCTCCAGGACGAGAATGGCAATCTCATCTCCCCAGAGCGACTCGATGAGATGCGCAGGTTCGCTCGAGAGATATTCGCCGAAATGGCGAGCCGCAAGACCGCTCCGCTTCACTGGGAGTCAAACGTTCTCGCAAACGAGCGTAGCGACTTCTGCAGGCGCATGGAGAACGCGTTCCCAGAGCTTAGGCTCTGCGAGAATAGCTGGAAGGCTAACGAGGTTGCTATACTGATTTACCCAGGCTGGAAATCCAATCGACTAGCATACTTTCACGCCGTGGCAGAGGCGACATAGAACACAAAGCAGCTGTGTATCCTTCGAATAGAGTATACTGCATAGTTTCGGGAGAATTGCAGCAGATGTGCTTAGTTCAGACCATTGTCAGGCAGATACTTAGGCACTGATCATAAAACTCATTTATTCAGATCTGCCAGCCATTACGCACGGTTGTGTCAAAATCTCTAGTGCCCTGCCGGCAAGTAAGTCGCCCTCCTGCGTTGTTTATTCTCTCCTTAGCGTCCCGAAACGACAAAACCCTCCGCCCTGTCTTTGTTCTGCGCATTTTCTCGTGCGCGGAGCGACAGCGTAGCCAGAGGCTTTCCAAGGAACAGAGACTGGACACAGTCAACGACCCCTTCGAAGGTGCGATGACAGAAGAACGTGGCCCCGCCCTGGATGACGCCCGGGATCAGCCTCGGACTTGGAGGGCTAGGGTCGAAGACGACGTAGACTTGCAACGCGTCCACGTAGAGGCATGCCATCGCGCGTCCAGAGTCCTCGCAATGCATAACCGTACACGCTGTGCGAGCATCCTTCGTGTGGCCGATCCTCGTGAGCGTTCTGCGGTATCACACGTGTGAGCACATGCTATTCGCATGCAGGAAAGTACGCACTCGAGGATATTCGCGAGTCCTTCAGTCCCCCTGGGCGCCGGTTGGGTGTACCGGAAGGGCTGTACGTGCTCGAGTCGCAGCACTTCGCGGAGCGTCTGTGTACGGAGGAGGTTGTACATCGTCGGAGGGGCCATGCCGGCGGGCAGGGCCATCACGCTGAGCGCATCCTGCGCAGAACGCCAACATACATCAGCGCGGGCCAAGAACCACGAGTTTTGTCTTACCACGCAAGTTCTCCCCGAAGTGACCAAACGCAAGAAGTATACGCCACCCGCGTAATCCTGCAATGGCAGCTTCTCGCCCAGCACTGTCTTGGCGAACTTCGTGGCGATGGACAGCTGGCTGTTGCGGCGGTGATCCGAAGGGACGGCGAGCTCTGGGTCATGTTCAATGACATGGCACGGTGCTTCACCAGAAAGGAAGGCTTCCATAATGACCGCGATGAAAGGACGGTGTTGTAACGTTGCGGGGAGGACGGAGAGTCTGGTCGCGCGCAGAATGCCTGCGAGTGCTTTGGCCGGTGGAAGGGGCTTATCTTCTCTGGAGCTCATCGCACGGGATCAGAAGTAGCATTATATACCTGCTTCAGCAACCAGAATGCCGGAAATCCATGTTGCCACACCTGCGTGGCCAAAAAGCGAGCAAACAATGTTTTCTCAAGGCGACCTTGTTTCGTCTGAAGTATCCGTGAGTCCGCCGGTGGCTCTGTGTCTGGATAACAAGAGATCTAACCAAATAGTTGTGATACAAAGACAATCATTAGCGATCGAAGGGTCGCTTAGTAGGGGACTGATTCGTGCACTAGTGGCCCAGGAACCTGTGGCGCAACAATATTAATTGTTTAAAATATAAGGGGATAGATTGATCCAAAGCGGAATAGGCGGAAAATGACATCAAGAAGGCTGATATACTATAAATCTGGACAGAAATTGAGCCCGTACGAGGCCGCGTACACTAAAGCACAAGGTTGCCTCCGTCTCTCAAAAATCAAAATACGCCACCGGCGAGTTCCCCGACATGCGCCCATCTTGCCAGTATCATGACGACCACGGAGTAGATCACCATGGATCCTGCAGAACGGCTGGTAAGCGGACGTCCTTCACGAATCGGCACTCGAGTACAATGGGCTATACCTGCGTAGAGACCAACGTCATGGAACGAACCGGTGTGTTGCTGAATTGCGCCAGAGATTGGCGGTCCGGCTAACGCACCTGTGTGTGATAGTCATCAGCCCGAGACACAAAGATCAGACAATAGCGCACTGACCCAGCGACATGAAGGTCATTTGTACGCCGGTGCGCAGACCGACATCTTCTACTCCCCCCAAGCGCGTCGTCACCACAGGAAACAAGCTGACGAACGCGCCTGAAGCCGCGCTGCATTTTTACGTATCAGTCCTAGATCAAGAATAACAGGTCAGGCGCACACACCCATACAAGCAGATGATCGCAATGAACCCTCCATGAGAGTCGACGAAGGGCCAGACATACGTCATCGCCGCCGCCAGGGTCGTGAAGACGATCATCACGTTCAGCCCGCCGTACTGGACAGCGAGAACGCCACTAAGCAGACGACCGAAGGCCGAGGTGGCATTGCACACGCCTACGATGTAGAATGCCAGCGAGCTGTCTATACCTATGGACACTGCGCTGACACTTAGGAACGTGAGAGCTGTATGAAGTCAGCAGCGAATAGTAGGAAGGGAGAGGGCTCACGAGTATAGAGGCCAAGGAAGGCGAGGAGGGTAGAGAATGTGTAGAGGACGTATGCACGCTTCAAGAGCGCTCGCCATTGGGTTACAGTCTTACCCTTGGGTGGCAGACGTGCCTTCATTGTCTGCAGTGAAGCCGACTACCAATAAGATGCGGCTGCATGAGTCACAGAAGCGTAAAGTACGTACTATGATAGCGAAAAGGAAACATGCCAAGTTTACGAGTGCCATGACTCGGACTGTCCAGCGGAAGCTGAAGGCATCCGTAGACGTGAGCCGTGCACGATGCGTTAAGAAAAATAATATACCCGACTCGAGGCAAGAGCTGACGGAAGATGATAGAAAAGAGGACGCCGCCAACGGAAGACCCAAACGCGACGATACTGAATGCGATGGGCCGCTTATCTTTGACTATAATAGATTGAGTTTTGGATGCTGAGAGATCTCTGGTACCGTACTTACACCAGTGTGCGACAATTGCGGTACATGGAACATAAATCCATCCTGCAGACAACTGAACCAGTTATGACCACTACATCAGGTGGCGAGATGAATAGCAGACTCACACCGACTGCAACGCCTTGACAGATTACGAACTGCCAATACTTGTGGCACTCCGCGATAAGGAAGTTAGAGGTAATGTAGACGATACTTGAGCCTATTAGAGAGATTCTGAAGTATCCTAGGTCAAAAATATAGCCCGTGAGGAGACCCTGTGCATCTTTTGAGATAACCTGGATAAAGATTGCACGCAGAGCGGCACGTACCGGCAGGAATATTAAAGCATACTGAGTTCGGCGGCGTCAAGATGCGACTGTGTGGATGTAGACGACAACATACTACACCTGTAAAGAGCCGATCCATGCTCTACGAGAGAAGAGTCAGTTAACTGGCATGCTGAATTTAAGGGACGCACATGTCTGAAGGAGAGCGATCGCTAAGCGCGACAGCTTGGTAGTATTCTTGGAAGGCCTTTCATGGCAGCGCAAAAATTAACTTTGCAACAACGTTGGAAACATAACGGTGCTCACTCCCCAGGACACGACATATCCGAATGTTGCAAACGACAGACAGAACGACTACATGAGAGCGTCAAATAGTGCTTTAGCTGTAGTTTATCCACGAAACAATAGACACCTACACCTGCGACAACGATCCAGGCTCGCAGGCCACCGTCCGGAGCCTCGTCAGATGCTGTGAGCTCAGACGAAGAGTTCACAGAACTTCCTTTGCTCTTGGGGTCGTAGGCGGACGGAGGCGGGGCACTCGAGCTGAGCGAGGTCATGAGGGCGGAACAGTTTGGGTATGCCCGCAGCCCACGAAGGTAGTCGCACTGTTATACGCATACTGGATGTTCGATGCGGGTTTGGCCATTTACTTGGATAAGAAGTAATAGGCTGCCGGGAAAAGTGCGCCTGTTCGTTGCCCTTCACATCATCAAATATATCTTGTCGGCCCGACAAGTGCTATGCTTGCACAGTGTTTATAGAGAGTCCACAGATTGCCATTTGCGCTATCTGAGCAGTAGCGGATGCTAAGCCTTCTCCGTTAGCATCTTTGAGGGTCCATCAGGTTAGAGTTAACGCCACCTCGTTTACAATCGACGCACATCTGCTCCTGCTGAGTCCCGACAGCTTGCTGATCAGCGGCGTTATGTGTGCAGTGATACAAAATTTCGATGTTTTGATACCGCAGCTGCAATGGCAGTACTTGATCAGCTTGCAAACCGAACGGTTGCGGCTGCCTTCGGGTAGGCGTCTAATGATATCAGCTCTACTAGTCACGTAACCTAAATAACCTAACTTGTGTGCAGTAGGCTCACGCCTGCCCTATCCGACTTCGCGAAGCGTGATGTTGTGTAGCATGGAAAATAAATATATTATGTGAAAAATTGTACACAAATTTGATTTATAGTCAACACGCTGATATGTGGACCGTAGCGGCTTTGCGACTCTGATGCCAGTGCTGCCGTGAAATATGATGTAATGAAAGGGACTTACGCCAATGGGGGCAGCATTTAGTGAGGTGCAGGTATAGGACTAGGTGATAATGGAGTTGACGCACAGTATCAAACAACAGAAGCACATCGGCATCTCAACTCACACCGAACAGATTTACTGCACTAGAAGGCAGCCGCTGAAAAACAGTATATGGCAGACAGTCATCCATGCATTCATGCTGCTCGAACACTGCAAGAAGTATCACTTTTGATACATTCCGCACCACCAATAACCTGTGCAAGCAACCAACAATTTTCAAGTCCACAACAGTCAGGACAGGAATTAGCTGCATCAAAGGAACACCAACAACAACCACATTGTCATCTTCCACTGTCAAGACACTAAGACATCTCAGGAAACACACCATATCATCATTGTACAAGCCATAGAAAGAACCGCACAAAGTTTCACATTTCTTAAGCTCACTGACAGACAACTGCCCTAACACGGCACCACCACTTATACCGGCCAAGCCAGGCACAGCAACGCTACTATGACACAAACGTTCAAGCAGCATCAAACACCCACTTGTCACAAGAACAAGAAGGAAAAACCCTGAAAACAGCGACCTGTCAAAATTCCAAAATGATGCTACACCAGACAATCACCTACCAAATTGCAACCACATCGAAACCAACAACATTTGCGACAAGTCACAGATACAAGTCATGCAGCATATACTCAGAGACAAGGATGATAGAGGATGAGGATGGCAGAGTGGAGTCAGAGCCAAAGACCAAGGCAAAGCAACCAAACATGTACAAATGGGATAACAACAGTCACATGACTTCTGTCCAATGCTGTATGTTGAAATGATAACTCGTGGATATGGGCGTCAAACGCCCATTGCCGATTCCCCTGCATAGTGTCATTCAGGACAATCATAGCACTCAAAATAAATATGATCTTGAACTGCAGACGGCAGTTGTCGCATGCAGACCAGTACAAATCTGTATATTTATATTTGCAAAGGTGGGTAGTCATATACATGGTCATGGTATAGGTACACGCGGCTGCGAAATGTCCAAGGCTCGAGTGCAGTAGGCCGGGTGCAGTAGATGGCGGGAAGGCACCCAAGAACAG